TGGTTAAATTTTTCATCATTTCTGTTTTGTTCTGTTTTGTTTTTGAACACTGAAAATCTTTAAAACTCAGAATGTTTATTTCATTTTTCCTTTGAGGATTTTCGTATCTGCTCATGTTTTAATAATGTAAATTATGGCGCCAGGTATGTTTACAAACCTTTGTTTGATTCTTCTGTTGCTACTTGCCGGCTCACTTCAGTTCCGAAATTTCACTTTCAATTATTGGAAAAAGCTAAAAAGAAGTCCCGGAAAAGCTCGAACATAGTACAATTATTGGCAGATGGCATGACAGCTTCAGCTCAGCACTATGCTCTATACTCTTATAGAGCACGCTCTTTCAACCAATGACAGCACACCGTATCTGAACTTTATTATAATCACTTGTTGCCATGCATCAAAAAACACACTTGTTCACTGCACTCACTCGTTCATTTTTTTGATGCATAGCAAGTTGTGGAGAAGAATCGTTTATGCATACTTCCCATGGAATAATCTCTCATGAGTGAACAAGACAGAATTTCCCCTTTTAAAATATTTGCAATATCAATCAAATAGGAGATAAGAATAAACAATTATAATCCATCATATCCTTTTGTGTGAATGTGTACAATTGGTCTGAACACATCACATGATTGAATGTGCCTTAGGATATACCCCTTGTGATATTTCCCAATTCTCAAATTTTACTAATACTACAATGACAGCGTTCCTCTAAAATTGTATTCAAGATGAAAGAGTACAGTATTGCAGTATTGTTACAGAAGAAGGGGCATGATTGTTTGTTCATAAAGTTGTACCAGAGAACACTGAAAGGTAAACATCCTATGCAGCAAATAGTAGGCTTTTCGTAAGCACTCTTTCCTGTGCGTTGCAAAAGTATTTGAAGGATTATAACTACAAAAGTCTTCATTTAACTCAAAAACATGTGCAGATATTTTTCCTAGTTCCTTGAAGCTTACCGTTTTGTTTGAGCTTCTCTTGGAAAACTGTATGTATTTTTGAACAAATATAGCCTGTGGACGAATATCTGTGCATATTTTTGTGCTTAGTGGAAGCTATTGTTTTTATATCAATAAGGGAATTATCAGTTGATCCAATACCAAATTATCAAAACTAAAATGATTAGGATTATATGGCAGACAGCAAGGAGGATTACTTCTGAGATCTTGTGAGCAAAAGGGTTAAGGAATTCATGTTATGGTTTAGCATGAGAAGCCTGGTTACCCATTTTTTCTAAAATGGTGGCATGTATAGTCGTATTCTTAGCTAATCTGTAGCAGGTTCACTCTTCAGAATTCCAAAATTTGCTTGAAGGTAAAATTATATACAGTTTTCGATGGGAGAGAAAAAAATTTATATTTTTTAGTGCATACTTCTCCTTTAAATTTATATTAAAATTGAGGCAAGTGATCACCTGACTTAAAAGTTGTTTAAAGTAAATGTACTGTAATGTAAATTTAAGTTTTTCAAGTGCCAATGGGTTGACTTGGTACACAATATCGTAAATTAATAGAAGCTTTCATGGCATAACCGTCAAAAACTTCAGTTTACAACTTCGATAATTCGTAATAAATTTATTACTAACCCATGTATGGTTTGGTTCCTGACATGGACGTTGCCAACTTTCCATCTTCTAGAATTGTCGCTATATTAAAATCCGTCAAATGTACATGTCCTAAGGGAAAACAAATAAACTAAGTTGAACCATTTTTGGTTGTCCTGAGCAACAAGTGAAGTAGAGAGTATCTATAATCCTTATGATCTCTGTGACCTCACCGACAACTTCTCATGGATAAATAGCATTCGCAATCAGACAAGTAATTTGTTTACAACTAACAACGCTCCACTGGCCATTAGCGAACAAGTTCTCGCATATATCGAAAGAGGAACGCTTTTGGGCTTACGAAAAAGTCTAACATAATAGAAATAACCATTACTGCAATTGCAATTAAATCACAGAATTGTAAAAATTCTTATAACGAGCACAAACCTTTTTCGTCAAGAAGCAGATTGTCAGGTTTTAAATCCCTAAACGAAAAGAACATTTTTCTTCATTTTACGGCTTCGTGAAAGGGTTAAAATTAAAAGCAAACATCAAACCCAGTGTATGAATTTAGTAATAATTTGTTCGTCACCTGTGAATAACCTTCTTGCTTCTCAAGTAGCCGAGGGCAAGACCAAGTTCGCAGAGATATAACTTGACTCTTGGTTCATCAAATTTCGTTACTTGTTGCAAGTGGTAGCGAATGTCTCCTCCTAGTAGAAGGTCTACCACCATAAACATGTCTTCTTCATCTTGAAAAGCGAACCATAGATTCACAAGGAATGGATGCTCGAGGAACTTCAGAATTTCCAACTCGCGAAGCACATTTCGAACAGCATCCTTTTTAATGCAAGCATTTTTGTTCATGTATTTCATTGCATACATCGCCTTTGTGTCCTTCTTCTGAACGATGCAGACCTTCGAAAGCGAAAAAGAAAAAAAAAATAACCCACACCGATTAAAATCTTATTTCTATGTTAAATAGGAACACACGGAATAAATCGAATGAAAGTAAAATTAAAGCTGCGGCGGTTCACCTTTCCAAAAGCACCTCGTCCAATTGCTCGCAGGATCTGGAAATGGTCGAAATCGACTGTAACAAAAACATATGGAATTATAAGAACGCGTTTCACACTTCCAATGGAATAGAAGTCATTAGAACTAAGAATATTACCATCGCCGCTCGCATCGTAGGAAGGTTTTCGATTTGATTGAATGGCGCCCATTAGAGAGCCTTGTGAACAGCCTATGTTGGGTAGTGCCTGTGGCGACCCGCTTCAGCCCAAATGCCGAAGGCGGGCAGCTTCATGCAAAACTAAGCTGCACGAGGAAATTTTCAGTGTATAATGATTATTTTCCGCAATCTACAAGGTTTCGGGCCTTATAGAGGTTCCTCTTTGCAACAAGGTCGAAGGTTTTCGATCCGCAGCATTGCTGAGAAACCAAGCGTGACGTAATGTAAACACTGTTGTTTATTGGTGGAAAAAACTATATTTGAAAAGATTTTAAAAGGTTCGAAAACCATTATATATTCAATTTTATTGTGAGCAGACCTTGAGAAATAGTCATCTTTTGTAGTATTTCATTACGAGATAATGACCCCCTGTAACTGAAACCCAAATTTGGCTGATAATGTCGATTGGGTATGGATGATGTCCCGCAAGTCCCGCAACATCCCGAATGTTACTGAGTAAGCAAAACCCACCGGTCAGCGATTTCTATAAAATTGTTGCTTTGTTCATATAAACATACACATAATGTAACAAAATGGCCTATTCGGTTCCACACGTGCAAACAAGCTTGAAAAGTTTCTCTGCTAACCAGTGCTACATAAACCCTCAGAGTTCCATATAAGTTACTGGAATACACCATGGTGAAATCGAAGAAAGCAGCTTTAGAGTTAGCGAGATCATCGGGTCACAAAAAAACAAGAGAAGTCACAAACAATCCTTTTGAAATACATACAAATAGACGAAAACATGATATCTTGGGAAGGAAGCTTAAACATGATAAGGGCTTACCCGGGATTTCAAGGTCAAAAGCTATAAAGAAGGTAAGTATCACTTTATAGGGAAAAGATAAGAGTCCATTTGGAAGGAATTAATCTGTAATATCTCGGATGAAAGGGAACTATTTAGTTTAAAACCGTTAAATCATCATTACTTTCGGAGAGCCCTCTATTGTAAGAAAAGCTGTTGCTTTCATGTAGCCTCCCTGCCTTTTAACACACCTGGTCTGAAGCATCTCCAAAAATTCCACCTCCAAGACCATTAATAATCATCCCTACTACTTTCACATAAAGAGCTACTCAAGACATGTAATAGACACTTTTTAGGATTGTTTTTAGAATTAACAAATAGATTTCCATGTTGTGGTGCACCTGTTTAATTACAGATCACAGATGACGTCAAAATGTGATGAGAACAAAAAAGTGGCACAGGAGATGCAGCTGAGTGTGTCACTGATGTCCTTACTTCATTTTGATATCATCTGTGATCTATTACAGACCTATGGCAACATGGAGTGTATTTATTTTGTATCATCAAAAAACAAAATGTTTTCAAGGGTGACATAATCTATGAGTTTGTCCTTGAATAGATCTTGAGTAAGAACCAATCAAAATGCAGGTACAGTTTAGCATATCATATTACACGTTAGTGATGATGTGTGTCACATGGCTAGCTTCTTAGTTGATACCAGTCCAACTTTTAGTGTCTGTTTGACATTTAGAGGCAAAAGACACTCCTGGTGGAGCACAAGCAAAAAAATAAGGTTGGTTATTACATTGTACTTCTATCTATTAGTTTTCAGTAGTCTAAAATTCCAGATGATATTCACATCACCTCAATCAGGCAAAATCAGATGTCTGTTTGCAGGCACCATCCATAAGTGCCCTGGGCATTATTAAATTTTTGGAGCTTGAGAGTGGGTGCATATTCAAAGCTGGATGTTTGTTAAACGTTCACCAGTTTTTGCACCCACGTGGAAATTGTGATTGAATCTTTTAGGAGAATTCCAGCTTTCTTATAGACTGTCAGACAATGAGAGATCATAAAACAGGAAAGAAATAATAGTCAATACTCCTCTTGTGCTTCTTTTATTACCTGCAAGGTGGGTGCTTATTCAAATAAATATGTTATATTGGATAGTAACATGGGTAAAGCTAATTATGAGGGGATAGAGTTATGTTAAGGATACATTCTTCTACATATCATTTGCTGTCAATTCATAATCTAACTTGATGTTTGATATAGAAAGTACACTTTTTCTTCCAGATGATGTTCATGACAAGGTTATTGTCTCTATTTATTCCTAGGCAAACATGTTTATTGATCGCCGGTTTGGTGAATATGATGAAAAAATGTCACTGGAAGAGAAGATGTTGAAAAGATTTACAATGGAAAAAAAGGTGTGGTTGATCTAACTTTTCCTGGGAATACTGCAGACTGTGAAGGGTGGAAAATCTTCTGTAGATGTTGTTGATTGATTGATAGAGATGATGTTTTATTTACTGGGACTGATAAAAGCTTACAGGAGAAATCCTTTAGTGGCTGCACTACCATTTGTAAACCTGCATTGCAATTTGATAAATTTAGATACATGGATAATCATACTGACATGACTCACCTATCTTAAAAAGTTCTGTCTCTTATTGAAGTTGTCTTTATTGTTATAAATATTAGTTGGATGTTGTGTAAAATTACAATCAAAGTTAGAAATACATTTTATTACAATCATGATAGCTCATCTGTAGTAGTGCTTTATATATAACAATACTGCTATACTTACACAATACTATCACTAATGTGCTACATTCCAGCAGATGACTGCAATATACATGTACAACAAATATAAAACTACAATGTTCATTGAATTTATTACACATACTTTCCTAAGAAGCACATTTGTCTGACTTTCATGAAAATAATTGAAAAACATAACATATGATAGATGTAATATTATTACATAGCATCACCATGATCGGCATGGAAAGTACAGATTGGAGGACGAAGAGCTGACTCACTTAGGACAATCACTTGGTGATATTGACAAGTTTGAAGATGTGCAGCTGAGTGATGATGATGATGATGATGATATGGACAAGTCCGCAGAAGGTAAAAACTGTGGATTGAATCAGTGGTTGTTTTGACTTCCAATTAGTGACTGATTTTGTTGTATGTATTGGTATTGACCAGGTTGTTCTAGGTAAGTGAGATGCAATTGCACATCTACATAAACCTCACTCTAGCTTCATGGCTTTTCATCCTCTTTTTGAATACTTTTGGAAACACGTAGTGTGATGATCCACCCACTTCCTTTACCAGTTGATCTTCTCCAATTAACTTCAGAGCCCTAAGAGTGCCTAGCATCTAATTTCTCCTTACAGTATCATCCCTGAATCAAACACAATGATCATGAGAATAAAGAACATGATCACCAACTAAAGACATTCTTGATTGTTGAACAAATTCTTCTTTCCAGCACCTTAGGAAATGTAAAGAGAGCAATATGGAGAATTTGCATATTGATATTAGGGTGTAAAGGGTTAATTGTCTTCAAACGATGGCATTATCATAAAAAACCATTGGCATGATGCACAAGGGGTAGTTAATACCAACATGTATAATGTAATTTGAGTTGTTACAAAGAGGTGTCTGTTAACCCCACAATGTCTTTGCAGCTGATCATGTTAGAGAGTTGCATTTTGGTGGTTTTCTCACAAAGAAAAGAGCAGATGATGAGCAGGTAAAAGTATTCTTACTGTCATATTTTTTCAACATCTCTACCCTCTTGATATCATTAGTAATTATCCCCACTACCTGTTACACTTTTCCCTTTGGAGAATATACAAGAATTTGTTATTGTATCATTTAGAAAATACCTTCAACAATAGCAGGTATGTCAATTGTTATCTCCAGTTTAGGAAATGATGTTTAGAAATTACACGGGCAAATTGCATGATAATTTTTTTTGGGAGTTGAAAGGTTAAATCATGTGTTACTCTGGAGGAGTTAACAGTGCATGGATTGAGCTCAATGAGATTAACCTTCATTTGTTTGTTAAATAATGTACAGGACTGTTTCTATACATAAACTTAAGTTTGTACAAACCAAGTGAATATGATTTAGACTTCAGGAAAACACAAGAGCAAGAAAGAGATCATGGAGGAAGTGGTTGCCAAAGCAAAGATCAAAAAGGTAATCATGTTAGGATAAAACTTACAAATTATTTTTGTTTTTAGTTGAAAAAATATGTCTTTGACATAAACAGGATCAGTACCCTGGAATCCAAATATTTAACATTGGTTATATTCTTATTTAGAACATAGTTTGAATTACTAACATTCAAGTTAAATGCAGCAATTCTAATAAAACTTTCTAACAATTTTTTGATATTGCATTTCCATTATAAAAATTTTACTTGGGTGTTTTTTGTCAGCATGAGCGGCAAATGGCCAAAGAAGAGACAATCACCTTAACAGACAAGCTGGATCAGGATTGGAAGAACGTCAAGAATCTAATTTCACTAAAGGTGAACCTAAGTTGGAAATCTTGTTGCCTTTATTTAACCCTTTGCACTCTAATGTCATTATGCACATTCTCCATACTGTTCTTTATATATTTCCTAAGGTGCTGACCAGGAGAATGTGTTTATTGGTCAAAAGCTTCTTTTGTTGGGCATCATTTCCTTCATTCTCATGACCTTAATGTGTGATTCAGGGGTGATATTATAAGGAGAAATTAGATGCTAGGGTTAAAAGGGTTATTGATACAGTGGTCAATAGTATTACTTTCAGTATGTTAGAATGGGACTTTAACATCAGGCTTAATGGGAGAATCTCAGTCGACTTGCTTTTCAAATCCCATTTTTGTGTCATCTCAGCCATGCTTTTAAGAAGAATTCTCCTATGTCAAAAGAGGCATAAAGTGTTCAAGAAGGTGACTGATGTGTCTTTCAGCACAAAGAGGCTTTCGCAAAAGACTTTTCAGTTGACTGTGTTTAATTAATATTGCAGAGGCCACACACTGAAGAGGTTGTTTCCAAAGTAGATGATTACGACATTGCTGTCAAACAGTTGGCTTTTGAAATTAAAGGGAAAGTAAGTGCAAAAGAACATGTCCCTTAACCCTTTACAAGCTTACATTAGTATGCATTTTCTTTAGTGTTGTTCTCCATACATTCCCTGTGGTACTTGCAAAGAGAATTTGTCAAACAATCCAGAGCTTCTTAAGAAGACAATCATTCCCTTCATTCTTGTGACATTAATGTTTATGTTGATAGGTGATGCTGTTGGATCAATTAGATGCTTGTTACTTTTAGTGGTTAAAGGGTTAAAACACCTGAAAAGGAGGTTGCATTATCATAGGGTTAAGTCAGTCTCAGAAAATGATTTATCTGAATATTACTTATACTTTGTGTTTTTAAGGCCACTGACAGACTGAAGTCAGAACATGAGATTGCCAAAGAAGAACAGGAACGATTGGAAAAATTAGAGGTAAATAGAGCCATTTATCCTGTGAAATGATATCAGTCAAGGATGATATTATGACGTTTTTCTTTTTACTTTGAACAGTAGTTTAGGAGTTATAATAATGTTTGGAGATTCTCCTTTGGAGACAATTTCTTAGGGGGTGGAAGGAACATGTTTTTTCCTAGGAAGAGAACATTGCAAGTAAAATGTAGTAGGAGTGATCAACGGTAGTTTTTTTTTCAAAAAGGTTATTTAAGCCTTTAACTCAATGAGTGACTGAGACAGAATTCTCCTCATAATATCAATACAATATCAAGCACACAAGGGATGAGGAAAAAGAAAAATATGAATGAGGGCATGATTAGTTGATCCACTACCAAATTCTCAGAACAAATACAGTGAGAAAAATATGGCAGGTAGTAAGGAGAATAAATAATGATATCTTAGTGTTTTCTCTCTATTTACTAATCATGATTTAGCTTGAGCGTCAACGTAGAATGAGAGGTTTACCTGCTGTGGCTGAGAAACCAAAGCATATATCAGCTGATGACCTTGGTGACAGGTGAGCAATTATGAATGTTTAGGTGTTGTTTTCAGATTATTACTGAGATTTTATTCAATATACACTTATCAAAGTCATATACAGGAAACATACACACCTTTATTTCCAGGGTAACACAATCAGATGCAAAGGTAACTCTGATATCAAATTTTGTTGTAATTTGCTTGCCAGTTTCACACCTGCTGTAGATGAAAGATTCATGCTTAGTTACCAAGATGGATCAGTACATGATATGGAAGGTAGGTACTCTAATTAGACAGTCAGTTAGTCAGTCAAGTTAATTTTTTGTCAGCAACAATACTAGTGGCTATGTTTCTCTCAACTTTATTTTTGTTGTCCAGTCATCATGCAACTCAGAAATTCAGTGGTTAGCATAAGGGTGAAAAGATGAAGTTTTCAATTTTCATTGAATTACATAGGCAGGGGAGAGGTGACTTGCCTTAGCATAATGATTGTAAAGCACTATGGAAGATTAGCTGAATAGGGCTACATTGATGATACAATTATTATTATTATTATTATTATTATTATTATTATTATTATTTGTGCTGCATTTGGCTTTAGTTGGGACTCAGATGTGAATTGACAAACAAGCTGACTCAACTATTTTAATTTATAACAACCTAATGTTACACTTCTTAGCACTTCATGCACAGACACAAAAATTGAATCTAAAAGGAAGTCTCTCAGCATCTTTTTAACCTGTTCCAGGAGTTCAGACAGTAAACACAACAGGCTAGTTGCTACAGAGCAAAAAGCTCTTGGTAACAAGCAGAAAAGGAGGGAGATTTCCTTTTGCAGCTAATAATGTAGTCTGCAGTGCAGGTGTAATTTTGATGAGCAAGTGCTCAGTACTTTTCTTGGTGAAAATTATGACTGCTGTTCTTGCTTTTAACAGCAATAAATAATATTTGTAATAAGGGGATGAGGGATGGTCAAAAGGAAAGATAGGGAAGGGGTGGATTGAATGTGTGGAAAAGGTAGAAGCCTTCTGTAGATTTTGACTAGTTCTGCACGTCATTCTTCATGCACCAAGCCAAGTTTAGATAACATCTAATGATTCGTATCCATAATACCAACCCATTTGTTGCATTTTCAATCTCTAAGATGAAGAAGATGAGGATCAGATAAGAAGAGAAGCTGAAAACAGTGATGAAGAATCTGAGGTAGATGGGAAGGAAGAGGAAGAAGAGGAAGGGGACAATTCTGCTGCTGGCGATGATAATGATGATGATGATGATGATGATGAGGAGGATCAAGATAGTGAAAGCTGTGAAGATGATAATGGTTCTGACCTTGAATCAGATGGTAAATAAGCAATAAAGTTGTGTTTGTGTAAAATCTATGGATTCAGGTTAATGTTTGGAAAAATACATTTTTTTTCTTTTAATTACATTGAATGATGCATAATTAGGGTTAGGGTAGTAATGAATAAAGGGGATAAGTCTCTAAAGAAAATGTGGTGCTGCGTCGGTGGAAGAGTATAACAGGGTAAATTGGTGATAAATTATCAATTGAGTTGATAAGTTACATAAATTGGCCTCCATAAAGAGTTACAAAGCTGATGTTTGGAGTGTTAGCCTTTCATCAGAGTGAATAGGACTAGGGATATGTTTGTTGTCCTGTAAAGTGAGAGAATAACATATAAAGAACATAAAGGGGATGAAGAGAACAAAAGCTACATCAGTGAGCAAAACTATCTCATGCATTTACATTAATTTTTTTTGTTTATTGGATCTACAGTTAGCAATGATGGTATGGAAGATGAGTCCGACTCTGAAATTGAAATACCAGGAAATCAACAGCAACAACAAAACAATGTGGTAATTGACATTGACTTTAATTTTTTTATATTTCCTGAACCAATATTTAAATTAATCTTCTGTTATGTTGCTTAATTATTATTCTTATGCGAGTCTGAATCTGTTAAACCACCAGCAGCTTATCAGTGAGGTTACTTATACTTGTACCATATGCAATGTTTTGTCTCAGTATTTCTTAGACATTTTCTTCCAATGCAAACTCAATTCTTTCCTTCTCTTAATCAGACCATGTTTGATTTTTTTAAGCAAAAAGAAAAGACTGAGGCAGAGGTTGTTGAGCCAACAAAAGAAGAACTACCTTTTACTTTTAAAGGTAAATTTGAACCTCCCACATTTTCCTTACTTATCCATTTATCCACTTATCCATAAAAAAAAAGGCTTCTTGATGGCATTAGAAAATGAAGTTTGCTAATTCTGGCATCTGGATCCCCATTGATTTACTGATTGCTTTTTGCTTTTAATTTCCAGCACCAAAATCTCTTCAAGAATTTAAGGAACTCATAAAGGACTGGTAAGCAAAAGTGTTTTTGACTCAGATGAAAAAAATGTATCACAAGTAAACAGTATCATAATTTAAAGTGATAAGAATTTACAGCAGTACAACAATTAAAATGTATATAGTGAACTTCAAGGTGTTTTAAGGATGAAGTTTCTGTTTAACTTGGCAAATCTGTGTCTTCTCTTTTACTTGTATCTCAAAGGTCATTTAAGCAACAGTTAACAATCATTGACAGAATCAAGGCATGCCATAATCCCAAGATTACCCCTGCAAATAAACCAAAGATGGAGGTAAAGATTGAAAGATAGCTTTTTTAGTGTTGCTGTTTTAAGGCTGAGACTCAGTAGGCTGCATGTTGTGGAGATAAATAACAGCAGCAAGTCCCCATATGTGACTGTGAGAGTTTTTTTTTTAATTTTTGGGAATAACTTTGTCTGTGTGACCAGTCACACCAATCTGGTTTGAATTTGTACAACTGATAGCAGTAACATAATTTTGCCATAAGCAAAGTGATTGTCTGCGAAGGTTTGTCATAATGAGTTGTTTTAGAAGTAGCACAGACAGTTGCCTGTTGTTTCAAGGCATCTTAAACTGCACAGTGCTGCTCATGTAGTTTAGAACCCGTATCAGAGCTATTGTGACCAGATACTTGGGAATGAGCATCCCAAATGTTTTTATGGTTGGCAAAAATGTTCTTGTTCTCAGCTCTCAATGTCTTTCTATAACTCCATATACAGTGTAGCCTTACCGTCTTATCTACATTTGCCATCATTGACCAAATCTGATCACTGTTGACTGGGTTTAGTGTCATGATAAGCATTTTGGAGTACCCAAGAAGTTAGAAGAATTTCTGTAGTCATCATTTTGTCATTGCAACAATTAATAACTTTTTACAGGTTTTGTTCACCATTTTGTTGGATTATGTCGGTGAACTCTCCCAGATGGGTCCTGAAGGAATCAAGATGATTGATGAGCTGTCAAGGTAGGCGTATTTTCTTGTAGCTGAATTGTACGCATCCACTTTTTGCCTTTTAGTCTAGCGCCAGTGAAAAAGGATTGTATTTGATTTTAAATGAGACGCACGGAAATCTCAATGGAAAGGACATTTTTAGCGTTCCTGTTGTACTGGAGAAAAAAAATTTAAATAACGTCGGGGAAAAAAATGGTCTTTGCATTTCCGACGTAAACAGGAGTTTCAATAACTTTGCCTTTCCCAAACACGACAGCCTGCGAGCTGGCTTAACAGACAGCAATGAGAGGTTTTATATACGTAGCGGTAGGCCGCTGGTAACCGGCTTTTATTGAAATGTTACTGAATTTGGGACAAGATGAAAGCACCTCAACCATGTTTATCCCATCGTTTTGTGATGATGCGTTTAACTCTTGCGTTGCAGACATCTCTTTGATGTATCCCAGTACTCTCCGGTACACTCCGCCAAGTGCATGCAACAGATTGTAGAGGATATACACAAGAAATTCACCCAGAATTGCGACAAACAAGGCAAGAGTGCTTATGCGTGATTCATTCCCTTGTCTTTTCTTTAAAATTCCTCACCTTTCCTTCCTGGCCTGCGAGCAGGCCTGCGGACAGATTTGAGGCTAGTCGGCGAGAGGTTAGCT